ATTTCTAAATATAATAAAAAATTAATTAAAAACATAATATAATCGTACCTTCTAAAAGAGTAACGATTATTTGCATACTTTTCAACTTAAGATTAGAACCAAGTGAATTTTGTAAATAAAACATTTAAATTTTACGAATTTCGCTTTAGTAAGAATGGAATAAATTGATGAAAACGGGAAATTGCGAATTTCGCAGAAAGAAATCCGCATTTCGCAGCTGTGGGTATGAGCCTTTAGTATTTAAAAATCGTTCAGGAAAGGTAAATGTTCCCATAGGTCAATTACTCGTTTGCGTTCTAGAATGATTTAGTAATTCGCCAAAGTTAACCATAATTACCGAACTCTAGACTGCAGCGAAAACCTGCCGCGCATGCTTAATAAATATAATTTGTTTATGTTGAGAGATATGTAGGGTTATTCAATTCTAATTTTGAAAATAAAGATTTCAACGACAGAAAGTTACAGTATTTTTCTTAAAAAATGGAAAGAACAACTAAGCAAGTACCTCCGCTTATTTGTGGTTAGTTGATCATAATACTACGATATATTAGCAATAAGTAACCGCGCCTTACTTCTTAAATAAACATTATATAATATTTGTAAATTATATTACTTCTTAAATAAACGTTATATAATATTTATAAATTATATTATTATTACCAGTATCTAACGAACATTTCATAATCGCTACCTTCCGTTTTCACCGTCAATAGAGATGACGTGCAAATCAATAGCGCATTAAAAAGGATTAAGATTAAGACCTATCTCAAGTAGGTCTTGAGTTTTTGAATATCAATAAAGATGTTAAAATAATTCTTGAAGAGGTCTTAGACATATTCTCAAAAAAACATGAGCGAAAACTTCAGTTTGAATTTATATAAAAGAAATAAAGGTAAAACACCTTTATTTCTTATTAAGTCTTACTAGCATTTAGCAATTATTTTCATTAAACAAATAATAGACAACAATATTAACTGTTACTGAATAATTTACATATTATAAAAAAAATCTGAGGAACCCTCCCGGACTTGGGTCTAACTACTGCATTTACCTCCACATTGCCACATCCTATACGAGTTGATTTCATTATGTGCCCTCTCTGTTGACTTTTTCTGGATCCGCCTCTGTATTCATTAATCATAAGGCTCGGATAAAATATAAAATTCGATACAGTAAGTAGGTATTAAATTTAATAACAAAGTTGGAATATTCATGTTATCAATTTTAAATGAGGTCAGAAAAGCTTGGTGGATTCAACAACATTTTTAAGTTTGAGCGCTCTTATGGGCACGGGTAACACGATCCCATTAGAGCTGAACACAATGGAAACAAGGGTAATGCCTGCAGCCAGAAGCTCTACTAGTACTATGCTAATTACAATCAGAACGGGCTCACTAATTGGAAACCTGGGGTTAACAGTTGACCGGTATATAGAGTCTTTTGTTACAAAATATACTCTTATTTATATGTAATAATTAATTAATAAAATGTAATGGAAATAAATAAAATTGCAAACTATGTATGGAAGTAATAATGAACAAGTAGAATAATAATTAATTATTGTGTCCGTGAGTTTTAGTTTTAAAGAAGGCTGAATTGTTTCATATAGGTACAAAAAAATGTGTTGTGCAGAAGTACATTGAAATTTATGCAACGAACTAATAGGCCATCTCAGTTTATATTTTCGCTCATAGTACGAGGTGTCATCGATGATAAATAAACCTTTTTCAATCCCTTTAGTATTAGTTGATGAACTCGAACTTTAGATGTATAAATTGTTTATTTGAATTTCTACCAATTGCCTCTCACGTAGGTGTTCTATATATTCAGGTGTCCCATGGTGTTAATATTTTGTAATAATCTTGGTAATTTGACAGTAAGAATAGTTTTTTAAATTGTACCTCCTGGAATTTCCTATAAAATTGAATTTGTGTTAAAAAATCAAACCTGTACAATTAAATGCAAAAATGTAGCAAGTACACTATTTAGTTTATTTTTTCCGCTGTTTTCAAAAATCTAAACAGATTTTCAAAATATTTTTTTTGGAATACCTATACGAAATTGATATTTTTTATGAAGCTGGACCCTTTGTTAATATGTTAATCGATTCGATAAATTGAGTAATCAAAATATTACTTGTAAAAAAGCTTGTCCAAACCTGAGGATAACAGTATTCCAGATTGCAGCATTCGGTATTTAGATATATGTTATAACTAAGATACCTTTTTAAGTAATTAAGATACTTCTAAAGTAACTACACTAGTTTTCACGTATCTAATATGCATATTATAAAACACTTTTTAGAGATATATGATTACATATTAAACAGCATCTTTTAAAGTTATGGAAACATAAACTTTTCTATATGCATGGAATAACACTTAAATAAGGTTTTAATTATAATAAATTCTCTTACAATTAGGAAGCTATAACAAAAGTAAACTATAAGAAAAAAATGTTCCCCCTGTGAAGCTTTTACTATATAACCAGACAGTAATTAATCAAATCTAAAAACCATCTTTATAATCTAATCGATAATTTAATCACAAGAAATAGAATTTACATTATACATTTTAAGTTAAAACGTCAATTAAACGGAGAAAACGCTGTTACTAACAGCAAACCAATAATTGAATTAAAAGTTCTGCCCAGCTTATTTTATCATATCCTTGAGTTAAAAATATGCTTTATTTGCAAAAGGAAAGTTGTTTATTGAGGCGTTTTTGTTTAGTTAGTGAGGAAATTATAGTCGAGTATATTTAACGTTGGGTGAAGGTGAAGGCAAATAATACATGATAGCTATAAAAAGTATCTAACTATTTCATAAGTAACAAGTTTTTATACGCTGAAATTTAACTGAATTTATAAGATTAAGTTTTTAAAAGCTGAATTTATATACAGTGGCGGCAGACTAATTGGAAACGACAGCAAATAATAATTCAATCTTTTTTTATTCTGAAATTAATATAGACCTACTATTCGACGAACTGTGTCAAAACCAGGATTGTTGTGTAAATGTATAAACGAATTAGTTTTTATATGATTATACATTAAAAATGTATAGAATATAAACAAATTCACATGACATCAACTTGCATTTCTTATCAAGGTTCCTGCAGACGGTACTGGAATGACTCGCTGATATCAGAACTGCACATAACAATGAAATAATAGTATTAATAGTATAATTAAAGTTCGAAAACGCATAGGTAGCTTGATTTCTGTTGATGAATTAAGACAATAATATTAATTCAACTGACGTAAACCAAATTAACTTGATATGAACCCAATTAACTTAATTGTCACACGTTTTTCAAAACAAATATTTAACGGATTGATTAAAATTTTAATCCATTTTTCTTACAATATTATAAACTTTTCTTTTTCCTTCTTGAGTCTTATTACCACAGTCTTCTATACATATATCTAATAAATACGGTTACCCAGTAAAAGCACAGGCACAGAGATTAATTCACCCCGTATTATACTGGGTAACCGTATTTTTTAGATATACAGATGGATTATTTACATACATTGTGGTAGTAGTAAGACCTAAGAAGGAGAAAGAAAATTAGAAAAATGCCACAAATAATATATTTATTTTTTTTAAATCTAAAATTTTATTGCTTCGTATTTACGCATTTCTAGAAAAAAAAATTATTGGGTATTACATAAGCATCCTTTCAAGCCTAACAATAATAAATACCTATAGTTTTTTATATTTTATACTGTCATTCTTATCTTAATTAATCTTTAAATTTAAAATGTAAAAATATGACAAATATTTGAATTACATAATTTAACTATTTTATATAAATAATATTTTCGTGTTTACGAGTCCACTGAGGAGTTCCAGAAGAAGGAAAGACGATATATATCGGACTAGGGCTTTTCGTTTTTGTATTGTAACTGGAGGAAACCATTTCTTAAATGTAATTTGATTTTTTTAATCTTAATATTTTTTTGCGTCTAATACTAAGAATACTGTTATCTAGTTCTTTTCAATTCTTGCTTCCAGATTGAGTACTTCGTTGTTTTAATAGTTTCTACAATAAAATACATTGGAAGTGTTGTGTTTAATTTATAATCTACCTAAAACTTTTATACTAGCACATTCAGATAAGACTGACAGTATAAAATATAAAAAAATTAGGTATTTATTATTGTTAACATGTTAGGATTGAAAGGATGTTTATACCAAATAATTATTATTATTATTATTTCTAGAAATAACATTATATAGTATACCAGATCAACATTTTTCAAAAATATGCTATACAATGATTTTTAAACAAGCTGTAATTTTCCTATAATGATATCCTAAAATTAATATACTTACAGAATAAATGTCAACAATACTGAATATGTGGTGGCATATTGTCTGTCCGTTTAGGGCTGCTAGCTGGAGAAGCCCGAATTTCCTAGAAAGAAGAAACAGTGATTTCAGGCAATTGTTTCTTAACGAATAAAGGTATAGTAAAAATTAAAATACCAAAATATTCATATAGAGGGATGAGATTATATAATAAATACTCAGAGTAATACTTAAGGTACCCCGTAATCGTCTCACTTTATTTAATTGAAGATTAAATGAAGTTGCTACACACACTTCTCGATGAGTTATAAAATTTGTATCATACAAAGATAAGTGATTTAGCTTTAATTGTGATTGCCCAGTAGTAAAAGATTGTTATCAAGTAAATGGAAAGCCTTCTTACGCTGCGGCGTATGCTATTCGCAGACTGTTTTCTCGTTTTTGCCTTCGTCAGTGCGAAGTAGGTACACGTAACGTCAAAATGGATGATCTCAGAATCATTAGTCTCTATGTGACAGTAGAAACGAGTTAGTGGTAACTTTAGCTGGAGTTAATGGTAATTGGTAGATGGAGGTATCATTTTGCGCTGAATCGAGAGCTTAAACTATTATAAAATACGTAAAAAAAATTATTCATGAATTCCTGGAGCTATTTTAATGACCTTTGAAATATATTAATAGAAATGGGCATGGTAGCCGAGTGGTAAAGCGCTTATTTTAGTCGGTAACCAATATCAATGGTTCGAATCCATTCCGGAGCAAGTTAGAAATTTTATTTTTAATTTGTTTCGGATTAAGATGGGAGAGATCTGTCGAAGCCTTAAATATGGTTCGGACTCCACAATAAACTGTAGGGCCTCGTCTCCTACAATATTCAAGGGGTTACTTCGGTGACTTGAGAGGCGGTTAAGAAAACATTTTAAGAAAGCATTTTACGAAAAACTACACTTCAAACAATAACTTAGCATTTTTTAAGGTGAAAACAAAAAAACATCCATTTTTGATTGTCACCTATTTTGGATACCATTGATTTTAAAAATTTGTAATATTCCTGTTCTCAATGAAATTTTGGCTTTTAAGTTATGAATAAAGAAATCATAAACGCTAAAAATAATTTATCAAAAATCATTATTTTCTCACATGACATATTTGACATTTTATTTGGGTAAGATTATTTCTTTTAACGAAGTGAAATTAGAAAACATTTTTGTACATTACCGATGTATTTATGTTCTACTGAAATATTTCAAAGCGCATCGGTTAATACTGAAATATCTAGTCTCTTATTATAATGAAATAGTAAATACATATTTTAAATTAGAAAATTGGTTAGTCATTGTGAACAAAATCATTGAAAGGCTGATGTCAAAAATTAAAAATATTTTTTTAACGCTCACTGCTCACCACTTACCTCTTGCTAATGTGTTTTCCCTTTAAGGGTATTAATTTGCTCATCCTGAACAGTGTACTAACCGCGTGTAAACTGTGAGGTTTGCATTACCTTTTTTTTACGCGCCTAGGTATTTGCAAAGATTATAGTATTAATAATCTTTAATATTTATAACTAATTTAGCCTGAGTTTTATCCTGTCCTAAACAGTGGTGTTTCCGTTATGCATTCATATCGCATATATGTAGATCCCCGTACTGATTTATTAACATACGTCTGCAACATTTTAAAATGGTATCTAGGTCATTTAAAACTGAAATTTATGAAAGTTGCAATGGAAAGCTTAAAATCACAGATAAATTACAGTAAAACCAAATATATTCATCGACTGAACACAGGGCTGAGTGTTGTCTGTGGGTGTTTGTTTACATAAATATTACATACAAAATTTCATTACTTTATTAATATTAATATTTATATACGGCATTAATATACATTTTGTTGTATTTAGAAGTTGTTGAAATTTTCTGTAAAACTACGTCGTGTAATGTTTAATGGTTATATTTTTTAATTATTTGTAATTATCTAAAATTAATTCCCGTTCCATTGGTGTAATCGTCTACCATAATTAGCACAAATACAGTTTAAAAATTGTACAAAATTAGTTAAATATTCGCTAAATTATTAATATATGTACTTTAAATCTGCTAACACCATTTAATGTATAATTCGATGATCACAATAATTTGCATAGTTATATATTTGCGTGTAAAGTGTAATATGTGAGAATAGCATGTCCACACCTAGGATTTATTGCATGTTTACGTACAGATTTGTAGTTTTAAATAATTTTTCTGCAAATTGAAAATCATAATTAAATTAGTATTCATATTGAAATAAATAATTCCTTAATACAAGTAATTTTTGATTTATTAATAATAACAATAATAATGATAACATCTGGTCTCGAAATTAAATACAGTACCGGTCTGCCAAAGAAGATCATCAGACTAGTTGGAAGGCCAAATTCAGAATGTGGTCACTTTAAGTTAAGTTATCTCTGCCTGCTTAGGCCACATGGAAATTACAGTTACTAACCAAGTGGGATGTGGAGAGTGGTGTAGTTAATTTGCGGGGCGCGATTTGGAGCCATGCATGGGAGGACTATCCACAGTCGGGAGACCGAAAAAAAATGAATAAAATAAAATAAAAATATTATTAATAAACGCTTTAAGTAGACGAGGGAATTGTGTGATGACTTACTCATCTAGTACGAAAAAAGCGAATCTGCATGTAGGCGATATATGGCGCAATTGCATGCATCTTGAAAAAAAATATATCCAGAGCATCGCGTCTTCTTGCAACAACACCTGAGAGTGCAAATATCCATCTTGCGCATGACAGGTTCCGTAAGGACACTCCGTCAACTCGAAGAAGTGCCAACCACAGTTCTACCACTATAATTAGCAACTGATAGAGAAGACCGAAGTAAACTTAAGGACGCGGGTCTTAATACCAGAGTTACCTAAAAGCCACAAGATCTGACAAGAATGGACACGATCATGGATGAGAAATTTTAAGTAAGATGATGCAGACATCTAGCAAAATTAACTGTGCCGTGTACAACGATGCAACTCGCTCACCGTGAAAATCAAAGCGAGGTCGAGAAAACCAAGTGACACGCGACGTGTACACAAGATTAAAGGCAAGATACAGTCGGCCAGAGAGCACGTTTCTTGAATTCAGATTGTGGTGGAATACATACAATCAGGTAAGGTGTTTTAATTAAAATTTGAAGCATAGTAACCTGATTAAGAGTCCGACATCACATTCTTAATCTGACTAAAAAAAATCGTTGAAAAGGTGTGAGTGGTATGGAGCAAAACACATTGTTCCATATGAATCCTTTTTGTCTATTTGAAGAGCCACAGCGTGCTGTTAATTCGCCGATGGTAGAGGATGCCGAAAGCTTTTGGAAAAAAAAATATGAAATGACGCGTTCATTTAACGATGACAGTTAAGCAATTGTACACCTCGAGGCTCTGTGCCACAGACTTCCAGAAGAGCTGGAGGAAGTGTCGACAACCAGTACGGATGAAGTCCAACAATCTATTTTTGGTAGGTACTTCGCTGTCCCAGGATCAGACGACATAAACAACTGGCAGTAGGAGAAATTTCCTTCCATTCTCCGCCGTCTGCATATTTTATATGGATAACATTAAACTTGATGCCTCCGGAAAACACGAACTACAAAACCCTCATAGAGTGCGTCGAAGAATACGCGCATGTAATTGGAATGGAATTTGGGTGATAAATATCTACTCCTGAACAACAAGAAGACGATGCGGGGGAGTTCTAGGAGGATGAGCACTGAGCAGCTCCCGGACGGAGGCATATTGCGACATATAAACCTATATTTTATATATATATATATATATATATATATATATATATATATATATATATATATATATATATATATATATATATATATATATATATATATATGTATATATATATATATATATATATATATATATATATATATATATATATATATATATATATATATATATATATATATATATATATATATATATATATATATAAATATATATACATACATAACAGGGTGTCCCAACCAAAAGAAGGCACCCTGAATAACTTTGGAGATAAAAATTTTTTAAAAATTGGTGAAACACGTCGACCTTGTTTCCAAGGGGGACATATTTTATTGTAATTCTTGTATACCTATCATATCCCTCTACCCTACACGGCCACGCCCTCAAAAAAATCAAATGGCAAAGGGGGTTCAAGTTATACATCTTTTGAAAGGTCTTTCAATTCTCTACATAACTGCATATTTTTTTAAACCTTTATCGATTCGTTCTTAAGGAAAATAATTTTATTTTTGATGATTACACAATCGAAATCGTTTAAAAAATCTAAAATATACGGCACTGGGTATTGGAATTTATAAAAAAACTAAATTTTTTAGTGCTCTTAAATCAACACGAGTTTTTTCGACAAAAACACTTTCCTTTGTCCGTTTAGTTTTAGAATAATAAAAGACTCATAAGTATTTGATAGTCCTTGAACGTTCATTTGTTCACAACCAATTTTAAATCGAGATACATTTTACCAGAATGAGTTCTCAAAATGGTTTATACCCTTTAGGAGCGAATAGAAATTTTCAGCATTTAGTAAGTACAGAGAAGGAGTTCGTCGCGGGTTTAATTACGAAAATGAATAATTATCGGGTATGCCCGTATAAAAAAAAAAAAATATATATATATATATATATATATATATATATATATATATATATATATATATATATATATATATATATAAATATATATATATAAATATATATATATATATATATATATATATATATATATATATATATATATATATATATATATATATATATATATATATATATATATATATATATATATATATATATATATATATATATATATATATATATATATATATATAAATATATATATATATATATATATATATATATATATATATATAAATATATATATATATATATATATATATATATATATATATATATATATATATATATATATATATATAAATATATATATATATATATATATATATATATATATATATATATATATATATATATATATATATATAAATATATATAAATATATATATATATATATATATATATGAATAGTGGTGAGGGGTATGAAACTTCTCATATGGTCTGAATGTTACTATCCGACCGACATCCTCGATGTCTCTGTGGCGGATAGCGACTTGCATCACAGCAAGTACCGAGAAAGGCGACCCCTAGCCCAGGTGGACTAAACTAATGGATTAAATATGATTTGAAGGAAACAATCCACTCAGCGGGTAAATACCCTGACTTGCATTGAATTACACTTTCAAATCATGATAGAATGATATCCAATATCATTTGTCAATTCCCAATCAGTCATAGATCGATTTCGAACCAATTTGTTCTCTTCAGTATGCCATAGGTTATGGAACAGACAAATGATAGTGGCCAACCTGCTAGTTATATACTAACTATGGGTGAGGTGAATAGTGGTGAGAGGTATGAAACTTCCTCAATGGTCTGAATGCTACTATCCGACCGACATCCTCGATGTCTCTGTGGCGGATAAAGCGACTTGCATCACAGCAAGTACTGAGAGCGGCAACCCCTAGCCCAGTGTGGACTAAACTAATGTTGTTAAATATGATTTGAAGGAAACAACTACTCAGAAGGCAATTACCTCGACCTGCATTGAATTACACCTTCAAATCATGATAGATCGATAGTCAATATCATTTGTCAATTCTTAACCAGACATAGATCGATTT